AATACGCTAAAAGGTTGCGGGTTTTGAGGGTTTCAGAACTCTTACGTGTTCTGAATGAGTGGTGGATTAATGGAGTGCTAAAAAATTTCAGAGTGCTGGGTATTGGGCATTTTTTGGCTCAGTCACCCTTTTCAAACTTTGTCTAGACTCCGGGCATAGTAAAATCGATTCCGAGACTTTTGCATGACTTAATATATCTATCTAACGGATCAATGTTTTTTAAATCCCAGTATTAAATTTAGAAAGGGGTTGTCTCATATAATTTTGCCACTTCTAAAATTAATAGCGGTATTTAACAAGCATTGATCCATTAGTTAAATACATATGAGCTACGAATTTGACCAAACTGAGCCACAAGTATTATATATATTCTCGCTCAATTTTGATAGTAAAATATATTCCAATAACTTGTTACATATTAAAACTAAATTTACATAAGAAAATGAAATTTTCAACTTGTGTTTTATTTAATTTTATGAATTATTTTCTATTAAATTCAATGGATTGTTTTCCCCTAACAAAACATGGTGAAAAAATTAATGGGCATCGTCAATCTGAACTAGAAGTGGATGATGTTTCCATATACTTTCAAGAATATACTAGACTTATTGAACTACCAGACTATTTTCCATAAGATCTTCGGCTTAAGATCAAAGAAAATAGTGACAATATAGAAGGAGGATTTCACAAAAAGTTACTAAAGGCGTTTGAAAACAGGGATTTATTCAACTATGATGAGCGTGCTTTAATTGCTCGGGAATTATCAGCATTTGATAACTTGGATAAACTCAAAAAACTAGTAGGTAGAATAAATGGAGACGTAAGTTATCATTTCTTAATCAAATAAATTTATAAATACATATAATAGATTTCACAACTTGAAAAAGAACTTGCAACATTGGAAAATTGGTTTAAATAATTTTATTTATTTAATATAGTAGTTTTAGGTAAATTTGGTATTATTGTTAGAGTTATACCAAAATATTATCTATTCTTTTAATTTCCGAATTTGGGTATTTGTTACTAATTTTCGATTTCAGAACATATTAATTTAGTTTTCTGATAATTAACTTATTATATAGAAACTTATTTTCACAAAGTTTAAAGAAATTGTTTTACTTAAATAGCATTTTTAATAGCATTTTAATTTAAGAGGAAAATTTTTTCAAATAACTAGGCTAGTTAAATTAATACACAGCGCTCATGTTTTTCGATTTTTATTGAACTTGGTAGTTAGATCAAATAGTTAGATTTTGTCATTATAAAAAGATTGATTTTTATTCACAATTTTGTTTTTATATTTTAGAATTCTGTAAAAAGTCAGATGTGATAAAGTTAAATTGAATTGAAGTATCAAAAAGATTTAACAAAAGATTAACTAGTTTTTATAAATTTTCAATTTTTATATCTTATATTCAATCATTTCCTTTATATCACATTGTTTACAACATCTAAAGTTTGATAAACTCGTTTTTAAGTTAGATTAAAATATATAAATTAATTTTTATTATTATAGTGTTTCTGCAGCTAAATTAATGAAATTTAAAATCTTTCGAAATCTTTTGATATCATAATATAGTAAATATTTACAATTTAATGAAAAACGAGGGCCAAAAATCTCTGTTTTCACTTTTAATCAACCCCAACTTCTAGATATCATCCTTTATTCCCAAAATCGCAAAAATCCTCTGATCGTCATTGTTCTAATTGCGGATTATCAAGCAAAAATATAGTTGCATCATTCAGAACCTGGACAATATTTATTTAAAACATGTTACGATCGGGATAGATATATAAAAAACAAGTCAATTACCAATAAAATTGGAAAATACTTTTTAAACAAGATAAAAATTTTTTAGAAGGCAAAAAATTAAGCAATAGGGAAAAAATATATATACAGGGTGCGGCAAATTTATCCCACCTTTTCTTTTTGTCATACCTTTCTTCAAAATTAATGAAAATTGATGATTTTTTATTCCCAACACTTTAGTAAACTTGCAAATACCAAATATTAAAAATTTGGTTCAATGTTTGCAAAGATAATCGATTTCAAACGTCTGTAAAATTTAAAAGCATTTTTACGCCAAATAATAATTGAACATAACTTCAAATATTTGATTCTCTAATGTTTTGATTTTATTTATTTTTTGATTCCAAATATTTGATTCCCCAATCCCTATATATAACTAGGGATGAGATTTATATAGATTTCCATATTTTTTACTGGCCTCGTAGGGTTCTGAAACGTCGAAAGAACATAGTTTTAGCATATGGTGGTAAGGCCGTTTTTGAGTTATCAATCCATAATTTCCATATTTTTCCATATTTAGGCGTTCCGTCCATATTTTCCAATTTTTATCCATATTTGGTCATTTTTTGTAAAATCTTGCGAGAAATTGGTAAAATTTTCAAATTTATGAAATTTTTGGTCAAAAATTTTTTTTTATCTTTTGAAAAAATTTTTTCAAAAAATTTCTGGTCAAAAATTTTTTTATAAAAATTTTTCAAAAAATTTTTCTAATAATTTTCCATTTATATATTATCAGAAGTATTTTCTGAAACAGAAAACTGCCATAACTTTATTTTTGTAATATTTTGCAGCAGAATTAACTTATTTAATATTTTTTAATTAAAAACGAAAATTTTTCCGTTAAAAATTGTCAGTTTTCAGTCCATATTTGATCCATATTTTGGATTTTAGTCCATATTTCAGTCCATATTTTGATATCTTTAGTCCATATTATATGTCCATATTTTTCGATTGATAGTCCATATAAATCCCATCATTAATAATTACCAATGCTTGGAAATTTAAAAATTGCTTGTACCAGGAATGGGACGGGTTACCCGAAACCCGATACCCGGACTTTTATGAAAAATCAATTGTAAAATTTTCAAAAATAATTTTCTAAATTGCCACAAACAAAAGATATTAAATATTTTATTTTTTGGTGTTGTCATTCTTTTTTTGATTTAAAATAAAATTTAGATTTCCATTAATCTTTATTTGCTTAAAAATTTATTTGTTCAATGAAAACCCCCAACTTTTATAGCAAATTTTTATGAAATTGTATACGAATTTTTTCCAATTTGTACTGATTTTTACTTAAAACATTGTAGTCTGTAAATTGGAAAAGGCACAAACTCTATGAAATTTTATATAAAATCCTGGTAAACTTCCCCAAAACATACCATTTTAATTATTTTAATGAACATCTAAAATAATTATACATTCATTCATCATTGGCGGAGAGAGTTTATTAGGCTCAAAAAAACTGATAATAGGCAACTAAATAGTTATGAAAAAGGCTTAACCTCGTACTTGTACATTCTCGTAATTTGTAAATGTGAGGCTCTCGAGCGCGGGTCCTCAAGTTCGTTTAGTTCAAAAATAATAATGATTTAGTTCAAAATTAGGGTTGTCGTCTCTGGACCGAACCGAAGAACTTATGATTTTTAGGGTTTAAGATTTTCCAAGAACCGACAACCCTATTCAAAATTCATTCCTAGCGAGACTTATTGTTTTCCAACCTCATTTCTTTTCTATATTTGTTTTCTTAACTCGTTCCATAATTGTTGGATCGACTCTGCCCATCCGTAATTAGACCCTATTCTCCAAGTTCTATCGAATGACACAACGTATAAAATTACGGGAAAAAGAGTACTAAAAAATAAAAATTTTCAGAAAAAATAATTAATTAAATGGCTTCTTTAAATAATATTTTTCTTGTTCTATTTTTATTTTTAAATTTATTTATATTATTTGAACCAATTAATTGCTGTCTTTTAAAAAATGAAATCAATTGTAATAATAAGGACAATAAATGCTGTGCCTTTTTAACTTGTCAAACTAAAGCTACTGGCGGTTCAATTTGTAGACCTTACAATTGTGTTAAACAAGGTGGGCACTGCGATATATCAAAAGAATGGCTGTATTGTTGTCTTGGATCTTTTTGTTCTTATAATACAAACAAATGTGAAACGTGTTTGAAGGAAAACGATCCTTGTGGTAATGATAGTAATACTTTTAAATGTTGTGAAGGTCTGGAATGTAAATATTATGGGCAAGGGAAATATGGCTCTTGTGAAAAAATTGAAATTAATAACTAAATGCTAACAATCTTTGTGGACTACTACTTCGCCTGACGACGAGACGCTGGGGATTAAACCTAATTCTCTGCTTTTTAAAGATTTGTCCGGGCTGTTTATCAATAGGTGGTTTTTGAGTGGGCTCATAAGATCAAGTTTTCCTTTTATGACGCACTGTGAATTTGGTTGAATAGTAGAATCTTCAATGGATCTAACTCTTAAATTGTTCAGTAATCTTTTTGAGTTTCCCATCGTTACAAATTCTTCTCCAATGTAAAATTTAGAATTAATGAAATCGAATCCAATAGGTTTATTTAATTTCTTAAACACATTGCATCCTAATATAATGTCGTAATTTTGCATGTTCACAAATTCTTGATCGTCAGCTAGGTGTATTTTTATTTTTAAATTTGATTTAGCTAATTCAAGGTTCACTTCAATACATTCTCTGAAAATTATTACATGTCCTGAGGCACTTGTTGCTTCAACAAAACTATTGGTTAGTATTCCATTAATTCGATTTGCTATAGACCTGGGGGCTACGATTAAGCTAGCGCCTGTGTCAATTAAAGCTCTTACTGGTAACGAATTTACCTTAACGTCAACAACTGTAGACTCCGCCATTGAAGAATTTTGACAATTATTAACTGTTTGTTTAAGACCTAACATATTTATTGTATTGATCTCATCTTTCTGCTCAGTCTTTCGACTGGTTTCTTTATTAATGAGAACAATTGGTGTGAACTTAGCTGTTCCCAATTTTGGATTAAGTGTTATTTCGGGAGTCTCCTTGCTGTGTGATTCAACATGTGTTTCAATTACCTCTTCTGGTTTGAGTACCCTGTTTTTGTTTCTGGACCAAAAACGTGCTCTGTTGTATTCACCTGCACCTTTATACCCATCACGAATAATTAACCAAATTCTTATACATAAATCTAAGAAAACTATGATTAAGATAATATTACGTATTATATCCCATATGTGTAAAATATCTCCAAAGACGGCATTTTTGATTTCGTCTTTTACGTCCTTCCACTCTTCAGACATTGTGGTTAATACCTCAGTGTCTTTCTTCTGAATGGTATAAGTTATAGTGCTTACTCGGACCATGTTTGTTACAAATGCGTGTGTTGCTAAGTCTGTAATGTTTGTCAAGACTAAATGGTGAAATGTGTGAATCGGAATTTTCGGCATTGTAATTGAAAAATTAAATTTCTTTAATTTTCTTACAGTCACCTCCTTTACTTGCCCTGTTAGTTGATCAACTTCAAGTACTCTATCATTAGTTTTTACATATTGTTTCCTAAATTCAGCGCAGGGAGCCTTTCTTGCAATTGGACTGATAATCATTGTAATAGGGTCTAAAAATGCCAGTTTTTCATTGCCTCTTGTTTTAAATTTTATAGGTAATTGGTCAAAGCATTCTGTTTTTCCGTTTTGAATATACACTCTAGTAAATTCATACTCATCCCAATTAAGTTGAATACATGGCCATACGCTAATTATTGAAGAACTTACTCTTTTAGCTACTAGCTTTTCTTCTTGAAAAACTGCTCTAGCAAAGCTAGTCGGGTCTTTTAAAATAGTTGCAGTGGCCCAACGTCTTGTTTCTTCCATATAATCACAGATTGATTTCAATGCCTGAGAGAAAGATACAGTCATCATTTCGGACATTTTGGCATCCAAATATGAAAGTTTTGCATCTAATTCTGATTCACTTACCCAGCCTTCAATAGCTCGCTTCCTTCTTCTGATATAAATCCATGGGGGAAGATTATTAGGTCTTATTTTACCATAACCTTTATTTTCGGATTTAATCAAGCCTGGAGCTTTTTGCGGTGTTATGTCTCTTACTGCTGGACCTTCAACCGAAAGAATTAAGCCTACATTACATGAAAATGCTTTTGCAGGCTTTGCTGGAAAGGTTAGTCGAAAATTAATTTCTTCTGAAATCCAGACATTATCTAGCTGAGTTCCATTCCAGGTACCTACCTTCGTGTATTCACAATTCTGCTGTGTTCCTACTTTCCATTTTAGAAGTGTTTCATCAGCCATTAGACATTTTTCTTCAGTAACCTCACATTTAGTGTTACCCAAAGTTGTTTTTATAGATTTATCTCCAAACTTCGAGGTTATTGTTGTTTTAAAAAGGTAGCAATTTTCTGAACTTACTTGTTTCCAGTTAAAAGATCCAACAAACCAGAACCTTGGAGATAGATCTATTTTATTTTCTGTGTATAAAATTCCAGAATCGTTCTTTAAAATTCCCAAACTACATTTTCCATGTTCAATCATTTGTTTACATTCTTCCTCGCTCATTTTCATAGGTTCAGAGCTCATTTCCTCTTGTATTGGTACCCCCGTTATTGACGTGTATTTGCGAAAGGATTTTTTCACTTTTCTACAGGCCCATGCCTCAATTTCGTGTTCGAGATCATTTGGTAAGTAAATTTCAAACCTTTTTGAAACGGGTGGAATCGAGTGGTTTAAAGCTTTGTTAGAACATGTTTCAAAATTTGGCAGTTCCCATAAAATGTTCTGTGCTTGTGTTTGGCAAATTAATGGATGATTTATTGTACCTGAAGCTGGTATAATCATAGTAAGAAGCATTAATAGGCCGAGAGAAAATTTTGTGATTTTGGGTCCTAATCCTTCCCAATTCGTTGTTTTACTTATAATGTTACTCCTCTGCTTTACAGCAGGTTCAGTCTTATCATTTGCGGTATCTTCTTTACCTGCTGATTTTTTGTTATTCAGTGTGACTGACCTGAGTTCTTCCATTGGTGTGTCTGTGGATTTAATGTTCATCGAGCCTAGTGCTTGTAATAGTTCTTCTACTGGTACGACTGTCATACTAGACTGTACGGTATTTACAGAATTTTGCTGCTTTGGATAACTGTTTGTTTTGTATTGCTGTTGACTGCTGGTCTGTTGTGAATCATAATTATTGCGATTAGGCCAATTGGCCTGAAAGTTATTCCTTCTAAGTCGACATTCTCTTGCTACATGTCCAGCTCGATTACAGTTATAGCATCTTGTGCGACCTGTCCAATTTCTCTCACTTCTCATTTGTTGAGAGCTCCAACCTCTGGCAGGAATATTAATTCTGTTTGAATTTGTTCCTCTGTAATTCTGATTAAAAGCCTGGGGATTGCGATTTTGAGCATCTTCTCTGATGAATCTTCTGAAATTAGGTTGCTCAAATCTGCGATTGAAATTGTTATTTGGTTGTGTATTTGCGTTCAAATTTAAGGTCTTGCCCTGATTTCTTAAAACATTAACTACCTGCTCAATTTGTGTCGGCAATCCTTTATCTGATTGGAGTACAGCTTCTACCTCTTCCGCTCTTTCTTTGAATTTTTGGAGATTACTCATTTGTGCTGTTCCGAGTAATCTCATCATATTTGTTAGACTTGGTTTGAGACGACCTCGTAATTCTTCGCATATCTTTTCTTTTCTTGCCTCATCCACTAGACCTGGATTTGTTACTTCTACTAAAGGTATTAATCTTTTCAAAAATTGAGCTACCGACTCGTCTTCTTTTTGTTTACAAACAGATAAGGTAAGTCTGGCAGCCTCTCTTCTCTGGGGCGAGTCCAACTTACTTCTTAAGGCTGTTAGTGCAGTACATACGTTAGCCATTTGATCTGCTGTGAGCTCTCTGAATAAATCCCTTGGTGTGTCTCCCAGTGCCAATCGGAGTCTTGCAACCTTTTCTTGTTCTGTCCAGTTCCTGCCTGCAACTATTAGATAATCTTTGAATCTTTCAGCCCACTTGTCGAAAGCATAGACGGATTCTTCTCCAAAAATCTCAATTCCAGCGTTGGAGGTAAGCATATTTATGGTAAAATTAAATTCTTCGCTTTCATCGTCAATATTCTCTTTTCTGGTCATAACTCTGTTCTTACCTGCTGTTTGAACACCTGAAATCCTAGGAGGCCGGTTATTGGATGATCCGTTTTCGTTTAGGTCTAATTCAGAATTTTGCTCATTTTTACCAACTCCGTCTTCAAGAGCTGAAACTCGGCCATTTAATTCAGTAATATTTAGGTTTAGGGAGATAAAATTGCGATTGGCATCTTCAGATGCTTTGTTGATAGCTTCAGTATTCTGATTGACCTCTCTTTTAATATGTCTTAAAGCTCTATTTACACTATCTTCCAATGTTACTATATCATTATGAGATTTCTCTAAGTCCGAAACTTTAACCGATGTCTTTCCTATCCAAAAATTTTTATCAATTGCCATAATAGTTATCTCCTCTTCTCCTTTACCAGACATTTTATTTCTACTCAGTCTTTCGACCGGTCTGCTATCGATGATTCTAAACCTATTGGTTTTTGAATAATCAGGAGTTTGAGGTGAAGCACTAAACTCGAGTCGATAGAGTGATGTTTTAGAATGCTCAATTTAATTAAATTTTTTTTTGATTGCTAAAAATAAAATATTTAATTTAGAGCCTAATAAATTATTAAAAATATTTATTAATGAATGAATGGGATTAATGTTTTCTTCAATGTTATATGAAACTTTATTGTAAAAAAAAATTTTACTATTTTCTGAGATTTCTCACTTGATTGTAAATACGGGAAAGGAATTTTCCTCCTTTTCTTTTTTTTTTATTAAATTTTTCTTTCTCTTGAGAGAATAGGATTGAAATGTAAGTGTGATAAGCTTCCTGTTTGTGTTTATTAACTAAGTCCTGAGAAATTTTATTTTATTCCTTTTCTTTTATAAAATTACAACGGGATATGTGTGAACGAAGGATAGTATATTTTTATAAACAACTTGGGATATTGGAAAGAGGAACTTTGATCTTCCATTTTTTTAACCTTTCGAAAGAAGGAGAAGAAATTATAAAAATTTTGAAGAATATCTTGGAAAATTAATAATAAAAAAAAATATTTTTATAATAGAATTCAAATTTCGGCGGTCTTCAAATCTGCTAAGCTGTTAAAAATTACTATAAATTTTATTTTTAAATTTTTATTCATCTGTATAAATTATATTTGCACATAAATAAATTTCCTATATTTTTATATAAGTAAATTTTTAAATAGGTAATTTTTTAAATTTCTCTCTTTTTATTTTTAAATTTAATTATTATTGCTTTTGATCCTCAAGTTTATTTCTTCTCCGCTGGAAAGCAGGTCTCACTAAGAATTTTTATACAAATTTCATAAATCCAATAAAATTAATTTCTATGTTTAACAAAATTTCTTCTTTTCTCTTCCTTATTTTTCTTAAATAATTTCTTTGTATTTTTGCTCAATTTTCTTTGATTCCTATATTTAAATTTGGTTAGTCTTCTAAAAAAAATTCTGATTTTCTGACAGTTTTCCGGATCCTAATTATTTGTTACTTCTCTGCCTTAAGGCAGGTGGAGCTCCACACAGTGAGTTGATCCTGCATCGATGATGAATCGTCCCCCCGGATTACTCCAGAATCCGGTGCTACCAGTAAAGTTGGAAGAGTGTTGGGCAGAGGGATGCTCGTGCGTGGCCAGCGCACTCATCACTAAGAGGATCAACTTAACTAGTCTTTCGTTTCCGAAAGAATAAATATAATCACAAACAAGACTAGACTGTTACTAACATTTATTTTACATTTTAAAATACAATTTTAAGTTTATAATAATAAAAAGAAATTCAATCGACTAACTAGTGGGAATACAAATTATTTATAAGTGATTAAAATAGGCGGGATTAATTACAAGAGGGGATATGACTTGTTGCTCTAGAGTAAAGGGAATTTGATATTGGGCCATTTAAGTCTTCCTTAAAATAACACAATAAATCTTTAGAAATCTATTATTTAAAATTTAGAAATCTATTTATTTTAGAAATCTATTTATTTAATTCCTTTAACGGACGATCCTTTAATGGGCGACCGTTTAATACTTTTTGCCCGTGACGATCCTTTAATTGTTTTTAGACGTTACGATCCTTTGAACGTTTTTAGCCGTGGCGATCCTTTTATGTTACGATCCTTTTAGGGACACGCCCTAAATGATACCTTTCTTTATTACATGTCTTTCATATTTTTTTGATTGTAATTTGTAACTCAAAAGTCAAAAATATCAAACTAATAACCGTTATACAACTTAAACTATGTTATACACAGTATTTAAAAGCTCGTACAGTAATTCAACTAGTACCTTTGTTCGAAGTACGAGTAAGGCAGACCTGTGCATGGACACGGATATCACACGTATATATCTAATATCAAGGGCCTGCAGCAGATAGCTGTATATATCCGTACATATATCCGGATACGGATAACAAAATCAGTGTTCATGAAAGTCTGCCTACCAGAAAAATATAAGGCCTGTAAGAATGTACGAGTACGAGCAATTTCAAAATTCTAAACACTCGTTATACAGAAATTGTAAATGGCCTAGGCGTATATGTTTTGTAATGTGTTATATTAGTATTTCTTGCCTAAATTGACGAGCACAAAAATAATGCTTACCCAAAATATAATGACAATATAGTCAAGGTTGATTGGGTTAGAATGATAAGCTTCGCTCTTCTTTTTTATTTCATATATAGTTAAATCTTGAAATTTTCAGTCATTAAAAATGTCAAAATTCTTTCTTTTTGCCTTTTTAATATTTATTCAACTTTTACCTTCAAGTTCAAGTGGTGGTAGATCTTCAAGATCAAGACGTGGTGGACATGGCAGATCTTCAATTTCAAGCGCTGCTGGATCTTCGAGTTCAGGAGGTGGTGCACTTGACATAGCTTCAAGTTCAAGCGCCGCTGGATCTTCGAATTCAGAAAATCTTAGTGAAGACCAACGTATTCGCGAAGAACTATTTCGTGAATATAGCTCAACAACTTTTGCCGTATACAAAGAATATCTCGGTTATGAACTCGATATGAAAAACTTTTCGCAACAAGATCATTCTTCCTTGCCTAAAATGGTAAATTAAATTTATAACATTTTTTTACAACTGAATGTGCTCACATTTTATTTTTCAAGATTACCCAGACTCCTGCCGGGCTAGCTTTTGCTAAACTCTGAGTTTTCTCTGGAAGACATAGCAGAGTTTAGCATGATTAAATGTTTTAAATTTTTAAACACATTTAAAAGAAATAAATAAAACATAACGATTTATGGACCTCGTTTAAGACTTCACATTCTTTTTAAATATCAGGTTTTTAGTCGGTAGGATCCCTAATAGGTATTTACAAAAAATTCTATAAGTGAAAGAATTTTGATTCTTGTTACATCTTTTTACATTACAAAGAACGCTTGATTAATAATTTTAAGGGCTTTATTTAATTATAGTATTTGGAAGTTCTAGACGAATTCTTACAAAACGAAATACCAGGGAAAAACCAGCGAAAGATAGCGATAAATCAAATGATTAATAATGGGACAGCAGCTGCAAAAATAATTGACTTTTGTAAAGCGTATCAACAAATGCTTCTTGATGAAATTAGAACTAATGTTTTAGTAAGTTTAGTTTTAGTTGAGTGGGTTAAGAATTCTAAAACTTTAAGTATCGCGCTGGGTTTGGTATTGGGCATTTTGTGGATACAGCTTTAACCTTGGTCAAGGTTCAGATGTTTTAAATTCCGGATCTCGATGCGGTGATTTCCGAAGCCGCTTGATGTTTACTCCGGCTTGGTTCTAGGAAGAAGAAATTTTTTGAAAAATAGAAAAGGATATTTCCTAATATTTTTGAATTTTTAAACATTTAATCTCGTTACAGAATAAAATGCTGAAGATCGTATATAATGAAGCTATTACAAAAGGAGAAACAGAATGTCCAATATGTCAGCAAGAGTATATAGAAGGTGAACAACTTGAAATAACGGAATGTGGACACTTTTACCATCAGGATTGTATAGTAGAATGGTTTAAAATGGAGGGAGGTAGAAATCATGGCACATGTCCAACATGTCGTAGTGTACTGAAAATATCCGTGCATCCAGAGATTCCTGAGATAAATAAAAAATTAGAGAAAGTTGGACTCGGTTTTAAAACGAAAAAATTTCGCAGAAATGATTAGTTATAAATATTCAATTATTTATTTTTCATTTCAATATTTCTATCACAGATTTTCTTTACGTATAAGCCCAAAATTTCAAAAAATCCAAAAATATTAAAATTCCCCAAAAAATGAATTAAAAACTCCTAAAAATTAAAAAAATTAAAAACCAAAAAAAAACAAAAAAATTTTGCCCAAAAATCATAAAAAGAAAAAATTCACAAAAAATTTTTAAAAAATCCAAAAATTTCCCAAAAACAATTTATTTAATTCTATCTATTTAAAATCTATTTTTCTTTCTTATTTTCATTCTATCGTAAATTTTAAATATTTAATCTTTTGTATAAAATATTTCGGGAATTGTTTTGTATAATATTTGAATTTTAATATTAAAAAAATTTTTTTTGCAAATTCTTAAAAATGTGGTCAATCAATAATAGGTCAATCAATAATAGGAAGTAACATTTTATAAAACAGCCTTAACCTTGTATTATATTTTGATACATTAATGGTCCTATTTCAAATTTTAGTTTTATTAATATTAAGGAGTAACAACTTAGAAAATTTGATTAAATCATTGTTTACTTGATTATATGTAATTAGGGATGGGATTTATATGTATTTCCTTATTTTTTTCCTGGCC